ACTCGATGGCAACTATATGATTGGAAGATAACCCATCAGTTGTAAAGTTAAAAAGTCCCAGATGCTGGCCTGTAGCAACTTGGTCAAACTTCTTGGAAGGAGCAAGCGCAAAGGTAATACCCTGGCCCCTAGAGTTCTCAGGAACTATGACGAACACGAAAGTGGTGGAGAAAGAGAAGGCGTTAGCATTTGGTGAACTCTTGAACTTAAACGGGACAGAATAGAAAACGTGGCCAAACTGAAAAACTGAACTGTCTGTGAGCCTGAAAAGACCATCAGTTCTCAATTCCGCTACACCACCAAGTTCTAAACTCTGTTCTTGACCAGAAACCGACTGTAAACTGAATCCATTGAAGATGAAACCTTGATTGCTTGAGGTTGCCACTTTGATCCAAAGAAACAACAGCAAAAGTTTCTTAAAGACCATGGCTGGAGCCAGTATTGATGATGTTTTTTCCGTCGAACTGATAAACTGAGACTTATCTTACATTAATACCTATGATAACTAACACCGGCGGCTAGACCCATGACTCTACGGGGATGAGAGTTGAGAACTGAGAGATTATCAGTGAAAACTGGACTCTGGGCCGACGTTTTGGACTAAATTTTTGTCTCTTTGTTGCATAAAAGTCATTGAAGCATTCTAGTACATACTTATTTTCTTTCTTATCGTGTAAGTTTCAATCTTGTTGACGAACTGAGTTAACCCCCATTGAAAGTGCAAAGAGATTGCAGTCAATTCATGTCGTTAATTTAATTTAAATGTTTCTAAATGAAACATGCCAACATAATATTACATCATTTCTTAGTCTAATTTCTAGATAAAAAAGAGAAACATACAAACGCAAATGTACATGATGAGTATACAAATAAGGGTATAATTTCTTGAGATAATACAAAGAAAAAATTAAAAAAATGATAGTTTTAATTAAAATTTTGGGATTTCCTTTGATTTTAAGATAAGAAAATATTGTGACAAATTTGGTACCTAATCTTTCTTCTTCTAGATTTCCTAATTGTGTTTCTTTTGCTTTCTCTTAAATGTCGTTTCCCTCTTGGAGCAAGTACATAATGTCAAAGCCTTAAAGTTCATCAAATGTCTTTTTTCTTATGAAAATATAACTTCTATTGATGAAGACATCACCCAGAAACAGAATCTATTCCAGCTGAGGTAGTTCCAAACCAAATTAAGCTCAAAGCCCTCACCGGGATTCAACCCTGGCAGGTTAGCTAAATCATTTGCCTCTCTCCTAAACATTCGAAGAAATACGACTTTGAAAAATTAGAAGCTAGAAAAAGAACTTCCTTAATCAAAACAGAGTTTGTAATTCGCTAATCTGAAAGCATCACTCACACTAAATTCTAATGTTTGCCAGTTCAAATACCAAAATTTTTATTTTCTCTAATACCGCAACACAACAACAACAAAAAAATCAGCATATCCAACTTGATATCTTAATCTCATATCGGATATAAATATGATTGTTGAAACTCGAAACTTGAATTTAAACTTTTGCTAATTACATAGTGATCCTTGAATTCGAGCAATAACATTTAACTAGTTTAAAACGTGTAATAACTGATATAAATCTTTATATAAAGAAAAAAAAACTATAAATTAGTCTAATAAAATTGATTCATTAGTTATAGTATTACAGTCAACGACCTCTAGATAGGAAAGATTCAGTGATAGTAACTGATGCTCTAGTAAAATCGTTTGTCAATGATGCAGAATGATCACTGGACTCTTCGACAAACCCCGAGCTCTGAAGAATTACATCCAAATTTTCAGGGAATGAAGTTTGGCCTTTCAGATACAAGATAACTTGTGACATTCTAGGCCTAAGTGCTGCCACATTGTGCGAGCAAAGTAGTCCAAGTTTCAATACTAGATCGATTTCCCTAACCTTGAAGTCATTCTCAAGTTTGGAGTCCGCTGTCTTTAAGATATCACCTTCCTTCCAACATTTGAACACCCAATCCACCAAATGCACTTCTTCAGCTGATGCTCTTTGCTTGATTGGCCTTCTACCGCAAGCAACCTCCAAGCAAAATGCCCCAAATGCATAAACATCGGTGCTTGTATTTGCCTTGCCTGTTTTAGCAAGCTCTGGTGCCATGTAGCCAAAGGTGCCAGCTACATGCGTAGTTTGAGGATCCTGTGCATGTTTGCTACATCTTGCAAGCCCAAAATCACCTAATTTTCCATTAAACTCCCCATCTAATAACACGTTGCTGGCCTTTATATCTCTGTGAATGATGACTTCCGCCCACCCTTCGTGTAGGTAGGCCAGCGCAGAGGCTACATCTTTGATGATGCTAAATCTTTTATTCCAATTAAGAGTGGCCTCTGGCTGGTTGTAGAGGAACTTGTCAAGACTGCGATTTGGCATAAAATCGTAGACCAAAAGGAGCTCCTCTTTACCTCGACAATAGCCAAGGAGTCGTACTAAATTGGGATGTCGCAGCCTTCCGATTGTGCCAATCTCTGCAATAAATTCTTTCATCCCTTGTTGAGATTTGTGGAAGATTCGCTTCACTGCAATTTGGACTTTTGATCCGGGTAATTCCCCTCTGAAAACTTGACCGAAACCGCCTTGTCCAAGAAGCTCCTTTTCATTGAAACCTCTAGTTGCTATGAATAAATCCTTGTAAGCAAACCTATGAGGTCCGAATTGAACCTCCCAATCTTCAAGTAACTCAACAAATGTGTCTTTCTTTCTTCTCAAGATAAAAATGACAGAGACAATAACTGCCACAAAAAGTACTCCAGCTATTGACAGTCCGACTGCTAGTGTTGTTTTCTTTTTCCCAGATCTTTCAATGCTTGCACTTGGTACCGATGGAAGTTTGGCCAGATCAAGATCTTCTGCTTTCCCATCCATCTGGAAGCTCCAACCCAAAACATAACTAGATGCTGTAAGTTGACCAGTGGCGGAAGAGAAACCTACGTACATTTGATCCAAAATGAACGGTGACAAATCCATATCCACAGACAATAGCGGTTCTGGCTTACTCGTGTTAAACCGAGATAACGTGACATTAAGTTGATGCTTTGCACCATCATATTCCACCCAAAGTTGTCCCCCTTCTCCGCTCGCCAGATCAACAGGGCCCAATAGACCGCTATCAGGGACATCGTTTGCAGAAGTTAAATTCACTGACGATAAGCTATTGATATCAATCCCAACGTGGTTTCCATTAGGATCACCAAATTCTTGGTTTTGATACGTATCAAGCTCGACGGAAACAATATGATTGGATGGATTTCCATTATTTGTAAGATTGAATAGACCTAGATGTTGGCTAGATGCAACCCCTTGGCCTGATATAAACTCCTTGGAAGGAGCAAGCACAAAGGCCATACCGTGGCCACGAAAATTCCCAGGGACCATAGCAAACACGAAAGTGGTAGAGAAAGAGGACGCATTAGTATTTGATGAATTCTTGAACCTAAACGGGACTGAATAGAAAGCGTGGCCAATCTTAAAAGATTCATTGTTAGTAAGTCTGCAAAGACCATCGGAAACTTCTGCTACGCCAGCCAGTTCTAAGCTCTTATTCTGGCCAGATACCAGTCCTGAACTGAATCCATTGAAGATGAAACCTTCATTGCTTGAGGCTGCCACTTTGATTAAAAAAAACAGCACCAAAAAATCCTTAAGGCACATGACTGGAACTCTCTGATTGCATTTTTCGTTTGAATTGATAAGTTTAAGCTCAACAGATAGAATGAGAATTGAGAAACTAAGAAGTAATCAGCAGGCAGTCGTTGGATTCCTCGCCGGCATAGTGGACCAGATTTTCTGCAAGACAACGAACCTTCCATCAGGCATGGCGTCTGATCATATTAATTGGTGCAAGTAGACTTTTCTTGATACTTTTGACATTGTTGTTTTTGAAACCTTCCATATACTTAATCTTTGAAATAGAAAATTAAAGTTAAATCTTCTTTTTCTTTGAAGACTTTTCTTCAATACTATCCAAATCTATCCCTTTGTTCCTATTCAGTGTTTAATAATTTTTTGAACAACAGACTAATTGAGAGATTTTTTTTCCATCCAATTAAATTTTTGGGACATTTTAAAACTTCGTCAATAATCTCAATGACATGATCATGTTCTCTTCTTTATTTCATAGAAAGGCTTTATGTAGTTAAGACTGAGATTGTAGTTTTAGTGCATATGTACATATACACAGGGTATCGGTCGAATACTGTTTCTTTTGTACGTAAAAGGGTTCCATTCTATACAAATGAATCAAAGTTAATTTTCAAAAAAAGAGAGAAAGTTTTAGTGCATATGTTGTTGCCCCATAAAGGAGGAGCAAGTTTTGTAGTGCTGCAAAGATAGAAATCAAAAAGAAAAAATAAAAGAAAATGAATAAAAAGAATAGTAATTTTCACTTACATATATTCCTTGTAATTTTAATTTTTGTCTACGAGATATTTTGTGGTTTTTTTTTTATTAACATCCATGGATAATTCTATACCCACTAGATATTAGGCTATTAATTTTAGTTAATAAGATTGCAAAAATACCCTTAAATGTGAATAAATAAGTTAATTTTGAATTAAGGGTGCTTAGATAATTTTATTGAATAAAATTAACAGTTTAGACATTTACTATCAATGGAAACATATGCCTCTAGGATCAACGAAAACATAGGTTATTCATAGTGTTAATTGAGAAAAAAATATTCAGCTACTAATTGGAGCAAAAGAGATATCATAGCTATCATTTGAAAAAAATTAAAACCACAAAGAATACAAATGGAGTTTATTCTAAAAAGAAAAGAAATAGATTATAACAAAGGTTATAGTCTAATGGTTTCCTGTGTCCATTTAGTCCAAGCTGTGCCTAACATATGAGTTTGCCACAATCTAATTAATACACTAAAATGAAATTATATACATAAACATGTAAGCTGTAAGCAATCTGATTACTTAAAACAAGCATTAAGGTGTTACTTCTGCATATCTATATGTTATCCCTGTGACATCAACGCCCTCTAGATAGAAATGATTCAGTGATGGTCATTATTGCAGTAGAATCATTTGTCCTTACTGCAGAGTAATCACCGGGCTCTTCCACATACTCCTGAAGAATTGCATCCAAACTTTCAGGGAGTGAAGCTTGCTCCTTCAGATACAGGATAATTTCTGACATTCTTGGCCTGACTGCTGCCACCTTGTGCGTGCAAAGTAGTCCAAGCTTCAATACTAGATTGATTTCCCCAACCTTAGTATCTTTGCCAAATGTGGAGTCTATTGTCTTCAAGAGATCCCCTTCCTTCCAACATTTGAAAACCCAATCCGCCAGATGCACTTCATCGGCTGATGCTCGTGACTTGATTGGCCTTCTACCACAAACGACCTCCAAGCAAAATGCCCCGAATGCATAAACATCGGTGCTTGTGCTTGGCATGCCTGTTTTAGCAAGCTCCGGGGCCATGTGGCCGAAGGTACCTGCTATATGAGTGGTTTGACGAGCCTGTGCAATGTTGCTACATGTTGCAAGCCCAAAATCGCCTAATTTTCCATTCAGGTCACCATCTAATAGCACATTGCTGGGCTTTATATCTCTGTGAATGATAACTTCCGTCCATTCTTCATGCAGGAAGGCAAGCGCAGAGGCTACATCTTTGATGATTCCAAATCTTTGATCCCAATCAAGCGTGAACTCAGGCTTGTTGTGTAGAAACTTGTCCAGACTACCATTAGGCATATACTCATAGACCAAAAGGAGCTCGTTATTAACTCGAGCTAAGCCAAGAACTTTAACTAAGTTGGGATGCCGCAGCCTTCCAATTGTGCAGATCTCTGAAATGAATTCTTTCGTTCCTTGATGAGATTGGTGAGAGATTCTCTTCACAGCAACTTGGACTTTTGATCCAGGTAATTCTCCTTTTGAAAACCTGGCCAAAACCACCTTGTCCTAGAAGCTCCTTTACATCGAAGCCTCCCGTTGCTACGAGTAGATCTTCGTAAGGAAATCTATGAGATCCGAATTGGACCTCCCAATCTTCACGTATGTCAGGAACTGCGGCTCTTTTATTTTTAAATGCTAAGAAAACCATGGCAGATATTGTAACTGCCACTAAAAGTACACCAGTTAATGACAAAACAACCGCTAAAATGACCTGTTTCTTCCGAGATTTTCCCAGGCCTGGTAAAGAAGGAAGTTTGTCAAGATCAAGGTCTTGAGCTTTCCCTTCTATCTGGAAGCTCCAACCCAAGACATAAAGAGATGATACTTGTTGACCAGTAGCAGAAGAAAAACCTACGTAGGTTTGTCCTAAAATGATTGGTGATAGATCTATATCCATTGATAGCAGAGGGACTTTTGGCTTACTTAAATGGATTGGAGACAATGTGACATTCAGCTGATGCTTTGTTCCATCGTATTCCACCCAAATTTTTATCCTCTCCCCGCTTGCAAGATCAACATGCCTGGATTCACTACTTCCAATGGAAACGTATCCTGCATGAGCCGGTATGGCTGACGTTAAGCTATTGATATCAATTCCAACAGGGTTATCATCAATGTCATCAACTTCCTGATTTTGGAACGTGCTAAACTCGACTGCAACAATATGATTGGACGAGCTCCCATTATTACCAAGGTTGAACAGCCCTAGACCCTGGCCCGTTATAAATTTCTTGGAAGGAGCTAGCACAAAGGCCATGCCATTGCCCAGATCTGGGGCGATGGCAAACACGAAAGTGGTAGAGAAAGAGGAGACACTTTCATGCCAAAGGCTCAAAGGAAATTATGGGTAACAAAATGTTCTTGCACATTCTCGAAATCTATCATTTTCGTATTTAATTTGTTAAATTTTTGGAAAAAAATAATATTGCTGGTCAACATTAATGCATCATTCCTAAGGGTTTATCTTGTTAGACCTCACCTCAAGGTCTCTTTCGTTCCTTTTTCTCCTTTCATTTAGAAAAAGACTTTGAACATGTATTTGTCATCCAATCAAAATTCTCATATGAATTCATTTTTTTTAATAAGTATGTACGACTTATTATCGAATCAAATTCTTACATGCTTTTATAAATAATTTTAAATTTTAAAAATTATAAAAATAAAATGTAAATTATAGATAAAAATATTAAGATAATTCGGTAACCCTAAAAGTCTTTTTATTTTTTTTACTTAATCCCAAATTTTGTATTTATTTTTTCTTTTTTCCCATCAGCAAGATTTCTCTTTTATTTTCAAAAAACATATTTGAATTCGTTTTCTAAATCATACAGACGCACTTATCACTGAGTCAAATTATCGAATAAGTTATAGTTCTACAAGCATTTCTAAGCTTTGGAAATCACCTTAATTATACACCAACAAAATCAAATTGCAAGTATGAAAATATATGGGACGGGTCGGGTTTGCTTGAACGATAAGATAATTGGGTAAACGGGTTTTACTAGGATCTTTTATAATCCTTCATTTCGAGCTTATGGATGATGATCAATTTCATTTCCGGATGTTAAATCGTTGAAAATCCAGAAACAATGCCTGTGAGAGTCGCGGAGAGCTCTGCACCTTCCCAAGTTTCAGGTTTTTCCTCCTTCTCAAAGCTATCTCTGCCTTTTTTCCCTGTCTTTTTACTCAATGGCATTAGGGTTTCGGTGATGGCTGAAAATTTTTAGGAATGTTTTGCTCTTAGTAATATGAATCTGTTTTGGGTTGTTAAAGTTTCTGTCTTTTTTTTTTTTGGTTTTATTTTTGATATGTTTGTTTAACTTTGAAGGTACAAATTCAGGAAATACTTCACCCCCAGCTTGTACACTTTTGAGTGTTGGACAGGTCGATGCAATTTTCCCCTTTCTTTTGATTTTAGAAATTAATTTCTTGGGATTTTAAGATTTTAATTGTATTTCTTAATACCCATTTGAATAAATTTGTAATTTTTTGTGTTCTAAGTGTTTGATTTTGGTTTAGTTTTGATTTTAGTTGAATGAACTTGTTGCTGACTATGAGTGGAACTTTCTGTAGACTATGTTTTAGTTCTTGAGTATATGACAGCATAGTTTGAATTGCAGGCATTTTCTGGTACTCAAAATGTTTCTAGTTTACAAAAAGAAGAAGCTTGGAGAGTTAATGTCCGAATTCAAGGATGTGATCTCGAACATGGGTATCTATGCGGTACCATGGAAGCTCTAAATGTTCCTATGGCCGATACACCAGTAAGTAGAATGTCTTTAATCATCTGGATAGGTTTTGAAATGTTTATCTGGGATGGGAGGCATCCTCTTAACTTTTGTAGTGTAATGGCTGTTTAATTAAACAATGTTTGATGAATCTCCACCATCCAAAGCTTAAAGATATAACTGTAACATGTGCATCGTCATCTAATTTGGCTGATGATTTTGCATCCGTCTTCTTTTCTTATTCTCCATGGACATTACCTGCCAAACCTTTCATTTTCTTAACCTCCTTTGTTATCAGTTATCATTATGATATACACAGGGGACATTCATGCATATGGTTTTACTTTAATACGAAGCCTGCAAGATATGGCATGTGGTAATAAAGAGATATTATGCATTTTTCTTTTCAGATTGTAAGCGGTTGTTATCACTTCTGCAATTGTTTCCTAAATGCCTCCCTGTTGTCTCCAGCAAAATATGGGAAATCTAGCCGAACTGCAGAAATTTTGATCTTACTTCCTATAGCATTCGTTTTTCACTTTTTGATGTTTCTCAGGTCGTAACCTTTTGGGAGGGGGAGATTGTTGATACAAAGAATTATACTTTCTACACTGGCAAGTGGGAGGCATCGTATGTTTCTTTCTTCGTTTAGTTTGACAATTGGAACCTCTTTGCATAAAATTGGTGATAACCGATTAGCAATTCTTTTCATGGAAAGTTGGGAACAGTTAACATGACTCATATACTCCTTTAACAAGTTTTGTAAATTTTTTAACAGGCCAGAGGATGATAAAAGGCATTGGACAAAGTTTCCATCTTTTGCACCACTCTTGGTAAGGAGTTAGAACTTGTACCCTACATGCAGAACTGTGCTGACTTAGATGGCCCTTTTCTTTCCAGAATCAAGTAGAGGTTGATGGTGGGAAATCTTTGGACCTGAGTAATTATCCATACATATTTATGGTAATTTGATCTCATTTATTTCCTTAAATTTCTAAGAATTTGTTATACATTGACTGATAAGTGGTAACTTTCTTCTTCTTTTTATCTGGTTCAGAGATGGAAAGAGCAATACTTTGTAAATGTTGGAACAGACTGTGGGCTAACCATAGCTGGGTTTTATTATGTTTGCTTCTCTTGTAGCGATGGTTCTATCAATGGTTTCTATTACGATCCTAATAGCAGGTATGTATATTTCGTCATGGCATTCCATATCTTAGTTAATTATTTAATTACTCTTAACTCTCTTCTCATTCCCCAAATAATATGACAGCCTGTAACTATGTCAAACGCTTGATCACTTTTGGTTGAGGACCAGAAGATTTAATAAACTAGATGATACTATACCACTTTGTATTGAAATCATTATGTTCGTCTCTATTTCCATCTCCTCCTATCTCTTTTGTGTTCAATTGGTTGACAAAATTGTCCTCAATGAACTTTGCAGTCCATTTCAGAAGCTCGAGCTGAAATCTACCAATGAAGGAAGATCGGGATTCAGTTTTTCCTCATATGAATTGCAGTAAATAAGAATGTAGCTTGTTGATTCCAATATATATTAGGGCAAACTGAATTTCTCTTTTTTGTATGCCAAGTTGTCATGTCGCAACAGGAGAGACTTGTGTGAATGTATTGCAGTGATCACCTGGAATCTGAAATTGTGATCTTTTTTGAATTTTTTTTTTTTGGATGAATGTAATTTCGTGAGCACTATATAAGAGATGTTCATTGACTTTTATCAATATGATGCTTCATGTATATGGTCACCTCATGCTTGCAAGCTGCTATTGATCCCATCTGATTTTATTATCAAAACCGTAGCTTATAGTCAAATGATCTCTATGAGGCATCTTGAAAGGGTATGAGGCTTGGCCTTGATGTTAATTGGTTAGGCACTCCCAGCATGATGTGGGAAATTCATGCTGGCTTGAATACAAGCTAATGACAAAGTCCACCCTTCCAGTGGCTGGATTGAGGAAAAACCAGTACGGATACTGTTAGTTGGCTGTGCCGTTTCCTGTGCCCGTGCCGTTACTGCGGCCTTATGATGAATTGAGTCGAAAGTGGAATCGTGGCCCCACGAACAACTGGCAACCAAACGTGAAGTGAGACCCACTGCTCTCTCTAGCAACTTTCTCCCACTCCGTGCCAAACTAAACTAGATTATAATCAAGGGCAGCGTTCTTTCCCGATGTTTAAGGGGGGGCTGCACATTTATGAAACGGGCTCAACCATCCTCGTGCGCTCACGCAATTGGTTACTGCAACAGTAAAAAAAAACAATCCCACCAGCATTTACCCCTCTTCATGAGGGACGTCTCCTTCCTTTTATGTCATCCCCTCTCCCCCCATTCCTCCATCCAACTACCCCACCATCACCTGGAGAAAGCCTATAACTTCCCTAGAGCCCCCTAGCCCTTTCTGGCTCTATCTTTTCACTGACCTGTCGTAATTTGTTTAGTACCAAAAATGGAACGTACACTCCAAGGTGACTATCATGTCAGAGTCAGACCATATCCCTAGTGGCATTGTCGTTGTCATTTCCAGAAATATAAACTTTTGTACTTTAGTAAATGATTTCTTTGTGAAAGGAAAACGAAAAGCAATGGAGAACTTGCTTTGTGATGAGGTATGGCTGTCAAGTCCCGGAACTCCTGACCATAGCCATGATGAACGTGAACATTGCATGTTGAAGGGCTATGCTGATTCATTTTACACGACGAAGGAAGACTCTGAGCAGGCTTTTGTAGTATGCCTGGAGAAAGAGTTCAGTTACATGCCTGAACCTGGATATCTAGATCATCTTCAATCTAATAATTTGGTGTTTGCTAGGTTTAGAGCGGTTCAGTGGCTTATTAAGGTTCATTTTCTTTCCTCCTGAAGATATTTTCTCCAAGCTGCTGATTTGAATTGGTTTTACCCAAAAAAAAAAAAAAACCCAACCTGTTTAATTTCTCTCATTTATATTTTTCAGACTTGTACTCGGTTAAATCTCTCTGTTGGAACTGTTTTCAATTCGACAAATTACCTAGATCGTTTCCTATCTGTGGTTCAGTGCCATGTAAGTGACATTTGAATTTCAGGTTTTTTATTCTTCTGTTAACATTTCAACCAACATTTTTCAGTTTAAACATTAGCTACTTTTTACACGTAACACTGTAGGGATGGGAACATTGGATGGTCGAGTTACTATCCGTAGCATGTTTATCCATTGCCTCCAAGTTCAATGAGACCTCCCTTCCTTCCTTGGATGAACTTCAGGTGAATAATTGATATTCTCTGATGATGATTCAGGACCATGATGTGTTTTCTTGAAAATGAATATAATTAACCAGTTGGCAGTTATTGTTTTGGATGAAGATGGAGGACTTGGACCATTCGTTTCAATCAAGCACAATCCAGCAGATGGAACTGAAGCTGCTGCAAGCTTTAAAATGGCGTCTTGGATCCACAACAGTCTATTCCTATATAGAGCTGATTACATCGAACATCATCTGTCTCAAATGCAACCTTCAGAAAGAGTTGATCAACCAAGTTACCAAGACGCTTCTCAGAGCTGAATTAGGTACCATATGCTTCCCAGCCCTCTTTTCTTTATCTTTTGCCACCTGCAACAGCACAGGATGAAAAGAACAAAAAGAAATTCTAGCTAGTAATAAAATTTGGGACTTTTGTTGAATGATTCTAATGAATCTTTGTTGGCCACACTGAGGGTTAATAGTCAATGGTGCAGATATCAGGTTGCTGCGCTATCCACCCAGCGTTGTTGCAATATCTGCTCTATGGTGTAGTCTAGAAAAGTTATTTCCCTTATCATATAATGTCTACCTCACCAATATTATGAGGCTCATGAACCAAGATCACGAGGTAAAAATATTAAATTCCCAGTTTTTTCATATGTCGTGTGAAATATTTCTGGTTTACTGTTCCATTGGTAACTTAAAAAATCCAAATCAGCAGGATGATATTATCAAGTGTCGTAGGATAATGAAAGCATGGTTGGTTGATCCATTCTACAGCTTAAAAGCTTCTGATGAGCAATCCTACTACTACCCTTCGAGTCCTGTGACGGTCCTGTCCATGGAGCGGATTGATCATCACATCAATGATTGCCGAGTCGATCTCTCACTCTTCACGATGCCAGGTTCAAATGCCAATTGTGAATCAATTGCAACAAAAAGGAAGAGAGAAGAAGAGTAGATCCTAGAAATGGGATTTGACAGTCGAGGAGAACCATCATTTGGTCGTACAATAATGTTATATACTTTCCATTTTCACTCGTCTCATCCACCTAATCTTGTTATACAACTCTCAAAATTACGTGAGTTTCCATGTGATGAGTGAATGCTGGGTAATTATATCTATATATAGAAAAGTTGGTGTCAGATTTAAATTCGTTGAAATCATGCAAAGAACCAAATACAGTGCTGAAAATTCCGTCTCAGAATACATATTTTCAACTCCCTGAAGCTTATAAAGCTTTTCTTCAATGGATGATCTCATGGACAGCAATTATATATGACAGATGAACCCCTTTCCAACCTTCTACATGAGTAGTTTTATGGAATGATATTTTCATCAAATTTTAAGATTCGAGATAAAATATCTCAAAAATAACGAATATCATACCTGTTATCATCTTAAATTTAGATAAATTTTTTTAAAAAAAATAAAGAAATTCTATGTTCTACATCATCCCGCGAATAATTTATTCGAACCGCAATGAACTGTCTGCTTGGAACAGTAGGTAACAAAAGCCCGACAACCACAACCACACACTCTTACATGTGGGGGACCCAACGATTTTTAAGGATGAAGTAGAGATAGCAAAGAGAAGCACGCGATCGCTTTGGGTTTGGCTTGCATTGCAGACTGAAAACAATGGCTACTTCTTCACTCATTTCCTCATCATTTCTTCTCACCACAAAGCCCTTAACAATTCAACGCCAAAACCAACTCCATAACACGACGAGTTTCAGGAACCGAGCACCCTGCAATGTCCAAGCTGCCAAGCTTCCTCCTGGGGTACGTTTTCTCATGGGTTCTTATTTTTATTGCCAAATAATGCTTGGTTTTGTTCATTATGAGAAAATTTTGTTTCTGCAAAAACCAATATTTCAGGTTATAGTACCAAAAGTACAGCCAAAATTCACCGCACCGTTTCTTGGATTTACGAGGACAGCTGAAGTATGGAATTCCAGGGCTTGTATGGTTGGATTAATTGGTATTTTCATTTTAGAACTGGTAAGGTTTCTTTCATGTTGCTTCATTCATTAGTAAGAGTAAAGCAATGACACAGATAACTCTCTCCGTCCGCCTTCCTTTGACCTCCTCTCCATGGTACAATCACGGAAGATTTAAGGAAGCCAAGCTAACGGCAGTTTGGGTTTTTGAATTATGGTGATGGTGCTTAATTCTGTGGGCTTTTGGGTTTTGCAGATACTGAACAAGGGAATACTGCAGATGATTGGGGTAGATGTTGGGAAAGGTCTTAATATTCCTCTATGAAGATTCAGTAGTTCAAGAAGACAAGCACGTTAGCTCAATCAAGAATGGAGCTTTATTTAGAACAAGAAAACGCTTTTTTTAATTTTTGTATTAAAAATGAAAAACACACAATTTGTGCTCCATATGTTAACTCTGTCCCAATTCGATTATGATTTTAAGTACGCCATTTTCCTCGTGTTCAAGCTTCAAATTGTTGTCCGTTAATGGTTTGGCTTGCCAGATGCAGTACTCTGCCAAAGGAGATGCCAATGGCTCAGCAAAAGAATTATACTTTTCTTCTTTATCAATAATGAAAAACAATGGCATTGTTGTACGAACTGTCAACAAGATTGTATATCCTAAAACATGGTCATCTCACATTAAATTATAGGTACAGCCGTTCAAAGATTCTTCTCCTGCACACTGCATCATTTTACACTCTGCCGAATTGAACTTATTACCGAGGATTCTCTGGCAAACCTAACCAAATGAAGAAACTACAGAATGATCTAAGATTCCTGTCCCGGCATCTACAGGAGAATTATTGTTTCAGAGGATCAGAGAAATTCTCATATTTCCTTTTAAATAAAGCATATTCGTGTTAGAACAAGCACAAGATGATCTACAAGACTCGGCTAATTCGAGCATCTATAACTGGCACCTTATTGGAAGGTTCTGAGATGTCCAATGCGTCAGCTAGTGACATGCGACGGTTTCTCCATGCAGCTTCTGCCCATGTTTTCATTTTCTCTCCCTCCGTCTTCCTGTTCTGTTGAACACAAAGTACTTCTGCATACCCACCTGCACAATCCACCAATCATATTACTGCACTAAACTATGGACACAGATACATACTCAGAGCCCCTTGACATTGAATATAAACGTCTTGTTGGCATTCAGTATGCTCAACTTATATCATATACTGCTGCTGTATGTGTTAAATGCTAGTGACATCACATCAAAGTTAACTGGGGCATATCATGCTGAGATTATTATCCGCACGGAATATAAAGCTAAATATATAAAATGCAAGAAGATGTGAAACATTTGACCATACCTCTTGCAAGGGCTGAAATATCCCTTCGATCAAGTTTTGTCTCTGCACCACAGCAATCAAAACATGAAATAGTTTTTCAATTGCATAAACATCCGGCAAGAGAAATATTCTAATGTTCCAAACCTTTAGACTCCAACGGTGGTGCTTTCAGAAACTCTAAAGCCCTCCTGTAAAGTCCCTGCTAGTCACAAATCATCAAAACCATTACACCATATAAGCCCTTGGATAGTTTAAAACAACAGGCTACTATAACTCAAGAAAAGTGCATCACTATCTTCTTAAACAAATTTTAATCATAAACAATCTAGGATCAGCTACATGATCTTCCTCCATTTCACCTGGTTTATGGCCATCTTCTCACTAAGATGCAAGATAATATACAAGCAAACTAGCAACATTCAAACATTGAAAGGCAGGTAATAGTCTTGCATTAGCCAGGGTGGTGCATCACACTTTATTCTTTTACCGTTCAGGTTTCTCTCTAATCAGAATCCACCTCCATTATAAATTTTTCTTCTTTTTTCACTGGATTACAGTGAGTACTCAAACCTAGTCCCTCAACCCCACCTTCCTTCCTCACTTCTTTATAATTTTCAGAGAGAGAGAGAGAGAGGGTAAATAAAAGCAAAATAACTCGGGAGATTTGTGTCCTAGAACTGACCAAATCATGCAAGACTTCAGGAACCTGACAAATAAATACAGGCTGATGAAGCAGAGCCAAACTTAAATACACAAGGCGAAAAGTCTGACCTCTTGAATTAGATGAGCACTTGAATGCTCTTGCCTTGCTTTGGTCCGAAACATGAGAGCTATGCATGTTAAGACAAGACCAACCTTGGGATGATGAGAGCCTGTATGAAGTCAATAAATAACAGGGAAAATCATAACATCATTTGCCAGCAGAATCAAAAACAAAAAACCAGATTTTGTGTACATTATCATAAATCCAAAGTTACGCACCAAAGTATTCTTCTGTTTTAGTTAGTGCCTTTGTCAATATCTCCTCTGCAGCACCAAAATTCCTGAATCACAGGTTGTTGCAGACATCAATAAGAAAGATGCGTTGGAACAGATAAGGAAACAAAGAGATAAACAAGTAACCATAAAGTCACCCCATGTGTGACTCAAGTTGCCCCAAGGCAAAGGTTGCAGCAAGCAACACTTCATCTGGAGCCATATTGCAAACTGCTAAGGAATTTGTGTCGCTAAAATCTTCCTTTCTTAGAACTCCTTCAATTATTTTTTGGTATAATTCCTTGGCCAGTGAAAAGTTTTGTGTGGCGTGTAGAAATTCTCCATACGACAAAGCAACAGTGCCTGCATATCCCAACAGTAATAATTATGCAAGAGTCTCTTCTATAGCCAATTAGCAACTGTTAAGCTACAAGATCCCCACCATTGCAATCCTCATTATCTTGGAGTCCTTGAAAAAATGATGTGGCTGCAAAGATGCAGGTTAACATTTAGTAAATAAAATCAAAGAGACAGGGTTAACATTCAATAATTAAATAAATCAAAGAGACAACAAAACAATGAACCAAAACTAGGACAAAGTCTTTAGCTTCACCTGACTCAAGGTTACCATTGACAAGCTCAACTAGCCCCTTCACTGCTTTGGCACGAGCAATGCTTTTTAAATCATCTTTATCAAGAAGTTCTAAGCATTTATCTGCGAGCACTGATGAAGTATCATCCTATATAGGGAGAACCATCTCCAGATAAATTGAAATCATATATGCTATATGCCATTAGTTTCAATTTGAAAAATGATGATTGAGTAACCTACCTGGCCCTGCTGCAAATAGAGACCGACAAGAGCTTCCGTAGCAGCAACTATACCAATTCAGTGAATACCGTTTTCAGCATCGGGGTTACGAAGAAGAAAAAAACTGAAAAACCTTACTAAAATAGTAAAAATTTTACCTCTAACACCCAAGGAAGATTGTGTTAAATCTTGGACTCTACGGAGCTTTTCAATTGCTTCTTCAAAACTTCCTCTAAAACCAGAACCATTACCAGTTCTCTATCAACAAAAAAATTAATAAAAAAGGAAAGGAAAAAAAATGAACAAGTTTAAAAAAAGACATACCTTTCATACAATAAAGTAGACATTGCAAGTAACACTGTTCCAATAGAATTTTGAGCAAATTGACCATCACTTTCACTTGACTGAGTAGAAAGACACTGCTCCAATATCAGCATGCCTTGAGCATATGATTCATCTGCAAAAACCAAACACTCAAAATTTAAATAACATAGTTCAATTTTTGAGCAAAGCACAATTAAAAAGAAAAGATAGAAACTTTAATTGATAGCAATTCAGAAATCGGAATTTTAGTTAAATGGGGTGGTTTTAAAACCTGATTTCTGGGACCTGGCATGTGAAAGAGCGTAATTGATCATCTGAACAGCAACTGGGTTGGCACTGGGACCATTGATTCCATCGTGCAGGAATCTCAACGGCTGCGATGAAGTTCTGGAGATGTGTCCCATTCGGGAGTTTCGACAGACGGCAATGGCCGACCTTGATAGCTTAGCTGCGGCGTGAATCATCGCTGCTGATTATTGTTCTTTGCTGCTAAAACCCTATAGTTAGAATCCGAAGGGTTTTAGGACTTGCTAGAAATCTGACGAAAACAAAAGCTAGCCGGAGTTCCTGTTTTTCTCTTGCACTACCTTAATCACAGGTGCTCTTCTACGTGTAACGTGTTCTTTTCAACACGACACCGTTTCTAGCTTCAGGTTTTATTTTGTTTTGCTGAGATATTTTATCTTTTTATATTAATTAAATATTAAAAATAAAAGAATGAGAAAAAAACTACGGGTTAGAGCTAATTAAACCTAAGCTAAACCTTATTAAGCCACAACTGTGTATCATTCATTCGCAAACTTGTGCAATGATTAATCTTCTAATCAACTGACTAATCATTATTAGTAATCCAAAGAATGATGGGTTTTAACTTTGACAAGTATTGTGCATCTGTGCATATCTGATTCTAAACAACAATTGTGATCCATACGGAATTTTTATTTATCATTCATTAACAATAATTATCATGCCTAAGGATCTACAATAAAAAAATTATAGATTAAGATATACGTATTTAAACAAAATAATTCAAGAACCTTACCTTTCTTTTAGAGATTAAAATACAGATACAAGCAACGCAAAAACGATTCAAATTGTCTCACCTGTAAAGGATTCAAGCTTTTTTCCTAAAATTGTTTTGTTTTTTTTTT